GCGCGTGCCCCCCCGCCGGGGGCCGCTCCCCGCCCAGCGGACCCGGAGCAGGGGACGGGGACGGGGAGCGCCCGGGAAAGCGGGCAGTGCCACACGGGCTACCATCTTGGATGCAGCAAGGCGGAGTGGCCTCCGCAGAGCTGACCACCAGCGGGAAGCGGGTTTTACGCCAGCCTCGACTGGCGAGTCCCAAGCTCAGGAAGGGGAGAAGCGGCGCGGCGCCCGCAGGCGGCACAGCCGCGGTGCAGCGCCGGGTCCGTCGGGAAGGAGGCGCTCAGGGTGACTCGCGAAGCTTTGCAGCAGCAACGCAAGCTCTAACCTGCCTTCCTAAGGAAACGCGCGTCCAGCCTAACCTACAGCCCACACCCCTTTTCCTGGCGCGAATCCTCCCCGCAGTCCCCCTCCCCGTCCGCCTCCAGCTCTGCCACCCAGGCTTAAGCATGCGCCGTCTGCTCAGTGTCCCACGGCAGTTCTCAGTGCGCATGCACGGAGGACTTTCCAAAGCCAGCGCCGAATCCAACCCCCCCTCTCCCCCGTGCCACGTGTCCCCAAGCAGCACTTGGCCCCACGTGGGACTGGCCACGACGAACCAATCAGGGCATTGCCTCGCCCTTGAGCACGTAGAACAGCAGCCCCACGTGCGCAACCGCGCGGAGACAAACCGGTCTCTACCGAGAGCAACTTCCACCCTCCGCCTTACTCTACAAACAGACGCTCACCTCGCTGGCTCAGTTGTGAAACTGGGGAACGACCCGCACTTTATTTTTATAGCTCTGCTGAGGCGGACGCGAAAGAGTGGCAGTTCTAATAACCAATGAAGTCATGTCTCTGTAAGGCGGGGAGGAGGTTGCCCGAGACGCTCGGGTTACGGGGAACCGGAGGGGAGGGGCTATTTTCCCAGAGAAGGAGAACGAACGTGGCCAATGGGAGGCGGGGAAGAGTCAGGAGGTGTTGCTGAGAGAATGAAGTGGGTGGAGATCGTGCGGACAGGCCAGCCAATGAGTCGACCTGGTGGGCGTGCCTGGGGCGCCCCTGGCGCCAGCGCTGGGAATCCCCGTGCGCTCAGTGCCGTTTCCGCCCGGCCTGCTGAGGAGGAGCTGTTGGCTGCTCACTGTTGCCGCGGAGGGGGAGGGGCCGTAGCTGTTGCTCTGTGGAGCTGAGCTTTCGGTCCGGCCAGCTCTCTAGGAAACGCCGTGGCGCCGAGCAGGGCCTAGTGCCGGGGGCCCGAGCAACGGGCCGGACAGGTCAGCCAAGGCAATTGAGGAATGGGAAAGGTGCCTGTGGGGTGAAGGGGCCACTGTTTGGAGAGGGGTGCTATGGAGGGGGAGGGGCGGGAAACTTAGAGGGGGGCTTTTTGCGGGATCTTGCCTCTATTCCAGCGCTCAGACCGCTTCCCTTATGCTCCCTGTCTCTCGCCTTCATCTTCCAGCTGCCCCAACCCCAGGAATTCGCGCTTGAGGAAGGGTAGGTTTATATGTGTGGCAGAGCGGGGGTGGGGAGCCAAGTATTAAGAGTCGCTTTTCCAGGGGAAATGGAGCCTCTTGCATTTTTGTGGGGGAGGAGGAAAGAAGAGGTCGTGCTCCCTCTCGTCTGCCTCCGATATCCCCACGTCTCCGTAGCCTGGGAGGCGTCTGGGTGCAAGGAGAGAGGGGTGTGGGGGGGGCTGG